TCATCAGCTGCACATGCTTCAGACTCTCCATCTAGAATACCATAAATATAAAGGCGGATTTACAATATGACGCTAGGCCAATGTACCGTCAATTTTTAATCAAAAGCGTGGGTGATTTGACCTTTTCATGCATGCTATATGCTAGAGTTAAACCAAATTCAACTCCTGTGTCAACGTAACGTCAGGACTAGCGTAAAGGCGGATTTACAATATTATGCTAGTCCTGACGTTATGTTGACGCTGGAATAGAATCTGGTTCTGTTCTAGCATAAAGCATGCATGAAAAGGTCAAATCGCACACGCTTTTGATGAAAAATTGATAGTACACTGGCCTAATGTCATATTGTAAATCCTCCTTCATACTCTACTTGACTATTACATAAGTATAGGATCAGACTATAAAAAGTTTTCATTATGTGGATTTATGAGTAGCAGCTGTGCTATCTGGAGGAATTTCCATATCTATTGTGGCTGTGTGTTGTATGGATTCTACAACTGTATAGTAACAACTATATAGTAAAGAGCTGTTTCAGGGACTTTTGAAGCTGTATTTCAATAGCTAATTAGGGTTTAATAAGTTTCATTGAACACAAAATTTATTTATTGTTTTCAGCCTAAGTAGAGAACCTCTTAAGTTTACTGGAATCAAATCATTTCAACAGGTTATATTACCATTATATTTGTAATCAGAACCACATTTCTTAGTGCTGCCGGGATCAAGTTTCTGCCCTAGATTAGAGAATAGTTAAATTTACCAATTACAGTTCCATTTAGCCATACTTTTAGCTGGTTTCTTTCCTTCTGATAAACCTCCTAAAAATAGTAAAATATACCGTAAATTTACATGTACAATTAATAAATTTTTAATTTTATGCATAGCAGTACCAGTTATGCTACTTTAATATTAAGTATTGTCAATAATCTATTAAATGGCAAATAAAATTGCTGCTAGTTGAATTATTATTGATTTATTATTTCAATTACAATTGTGCAATACCACTTTTTAAGTCTAAGACTCTTTTCCATTGCATGTGCATGACAATAAATATGCTAGGTAAGATAACAATGTTGCTATGCACTCACTTATATAGTCAGCTTGGTTTTTGTTATTTCCCATACGGTCAAGAGCATCAGCGAGTGAACTGTAACTTGGCTTTCCGTTACATTTGCTATCAACATCATCAGCTCTGCTCAGCCACTTTACAAGGCATTCAGTAAAACACCTATCAACGTCACCTCTTTCATTTGCACTAATCACATCCAGTGTATTTTTATGCAGACCAAGGCTTATCCCTAATTTATCCCAGTCTGCTTTTCTAAAGTGTGCATCCTCTAACTTTTGTATCACATCTCCTAAATCACGAATGTTCAACCCTAAAAGTTAACAAAATTAATATAAAGAACTAACATTGAATGACTATAAATACTACACCTTTGCACTACTGTAGCTATATTTGGAAATTTTTACTGTGGCTTTTATTTAGCAATTGAGATAAGAAATCCACAAAATTGGATTACACTAGCTTTGGCATATTAGATCTACCACTATAGTCTACTTTTATGTCATAAGTTAGTTTGATTGGTTCATCTTTTACATGAACTTGTTGTT